ATTTCGTAAGATACACATTTTCCGCAAGGTTAAAATGGCCTTTTTATTTCAAAGACACTGACAATTACTTGATAAATGTTTACTATTTAGGTTATTATTGTTATTCCAGTAACTTAAATTCCAGTAAAATTAAAATTTTAAATATTTTAATATACCCCACTCTATCTGTGAAAAAATCAAAGTTTTTGAAGGCTCTAAAAGGATTTTGCTTTTTTTGACAACCAAAAAAGTGAAAAAATCATTTTTTGTCTATAGAACATTTCTTATACATGTTAGAGAAAAATGGTTCAATTAAAAGTTGTAGATCTTAAAGAGTTCTTTAATTAGATGTTTTTACATTAAAATACATAAACAATTGACCAAGATAATTACAAAATTGTATTACTTATTTTTGCAGTAATTTATAAATGTTAAGAACTTTATTTTTTGAATAAGGATATGCAATATAACTACTTGAAAGTATCAACTAGATCGACCAAATAGTTTATATGATTATTTAAACAACTGTACTTGCTCAAACAGTTACTTAGAGGTATTAACCAGATCGTAATCGATTTTTTGAGGCTTTAATTTTAAGGTAAATATTAAAAAAACTCAGACTTTAACCAAAATTGTTATAAAAAAAAGGTCTCAAAAAGGCTGACTTTTTAGCTTATAAACATTTATAATAACTTTTGATATTTTTTATGTGTCAGGTGCTTGTAAGTAGGCTCACTGTACTCTACTTTTTTGACCAATAGGAACCAAGATGACATTTTTTTCTTAATAAAATCTTATTTCCATTATTTATTAACGTTAAGAGCTGAGAATTGAACAGATTAAAGTAATACTTTAAATTTTATAATCCAAGTTATAGATGGCATATGCTTTCCGAGTTCTGTTTTTTTAGAATGGAACTTCAAATTCAAGCGCGCTGGAAAAATTTGCAATATGTCATAATAAAACAAAAGCATTCGATAAATTGTAGCACATAAGCTTGTTACTAAAATTCAAAAGATATCTGTCCATTCATGTACAGCTAATACAATCATATTAGATGCTAAGACAGAACTAAGTTCGGAAAGCAAATATGCAGAACTACGACCAACAAAAGCAGGAACCCCACAGGGCAGTATTCTAGGACCCGTGCTACATCTATATTAATAAAAATGAATCTCCGAAATGTTTGTACGGGCATCACTTCAGAACGACTGCACCAAATGAGATAATTCTTTTTTGTTGTGCTTTTTATTATCAGGAGAAGGTTTATGTAAAAGATAATTTTCAAAAAATTGTACGAAAAGACTTCAAAAACAGTTTTTCTGTAAATCGCAATATAACTAATAAATGGTGCCACACTATGACTAACAAAGGAAGCTAGGATTATTAAAATAAATGTCATTATTGATAGATTGGAATATCACACTAAATATACCGGTTATCGTTCGATTCTTGAAGTCAAGCAGTGTTGGGAGCGGTTACAATTTGGATGGGTGACCGCTTGGGAACACAGCATGTTATTCCATTTCAAAACTTCCTTCTTCGAAACGGCTGGACCGATTTCCATGAAATTTTACATGTGCATTCTGTAAATCTGAGAATAGGTTTTTTAAGGGTGGTTAACCCCACACATTTGTTTTAACCAAAATTTTTTATTTTTGTTTTTATGATGTGCTTTTTAAAAATATATAAAGCCCTTAATTTTAACCCCTTTATTGCTAACCTCTTTTTTAATAGCCATATTAGTGTCACAGAGTTAGTATACTTCTCCAAAATGGCTAAACCTATTTTTATAAAATTTTACATGTGTATTCTGTAGGTCTAAAAATAGGTTGTTATCTATTTTTTATACCGTAAGGGATTAAAAATGGTCCACCCCAAACATTTCTTTTTAATTTTTTCAACAAAATGTTTTATTTTTATTTTTTGATGATGGTGGCATTAAAAAATATATACAGCCCTTAATTTTTATCCATCTATTACTAACCCCCCTTTTTTTAATAGCCATATTAGTGTCACAGAGTTAATTACCATATTTCTAAGAAACGGTTCGACCGATTTACATGAAATTTTACATATATCATCGGTAGATCTAAGAATAGGCCGTAATATATTTTTTATACCCCTAAAAAGCAAGGGTCGTTCGCCACAATTATTATTTTTTTAATATCTGTACAAAATTTTTATTTTTTTTTTTGTTATGATGTGGTATTAAAAATACATATACATATCTTAATTTTCACCCCTCTATTACTAACCTCTATTTCTTAATAGCCGTGTTAATGTCACAGAGTTAATTATGCCTCGGAACAGGAATGATATTAAGACTTACGCGAGAAAGAGGATAAGGATGTTATGGAAAACGAGTATACTTCGCATCGTTACTTGGAACGTCAAGTCTCCAAACACAAGAGAGCAGGAAATTACAAAAGAGCTTGTAGAAAAAAATATAGATATATGTGAAATACAAGAGACAGAAGAAAACAGGAAAGGGTCAAATTATGCTAGATGACTATCTGATGATTTACAGTGGTGTTGCGAAAGAAACCAGAGCCAAAGAAGGAGTCGCCCTTTTCTTCTTCTTCTTCTTGATGTGCCTAACCGTTACGAATGTTAGCGATCACCACGGCAATCTTTATCTTATCTGCAGCAGCGTGGAAAAGCTGCACATATGTTGTATTGAACCAGATTCTGAGGTTCTGTAACCCCAAATGTTCTTCTTCCTGGACCTCGCTTTCCAAATATTTTTCCTTGCATGATGGCTTGAAGGAGAGCATCATCAATTAGCCCATATTTGTCCACTGCTGAACGTAGGCCTCCCGTAAAATTTTCCACTTATTTCTGTCTTGAGCTTCTTGCATCCAGTTTGTGGTGATGCGCTTGATATCATCCGTCCATCTAGTCGGTGGTCGTCCTCTGCTTCGATATGCATCTTACCTTGGTCGCCATTCCAGAATCTCCTTGGTCCATCTGTCATCCGTTAATCTGGCAACATGTCCGGCCCAAGCCCATTTAGCCCTGGCTAATTGGTACTAGAGAGAGAGAACAAAGCCTCTCTAGTACTAACAGCATTTGTGAACTCGAACTGGTTGGGGGAAATTTGACTTTCACAGAGCTTGTAGACTCTCTTATGAATTATCTTCAGGAACAATTTTAGGAGATGACTCATGAGGCTTATAGTACGGTAATCTTCACATTTTTTGGCTCCTGTTTTTTTTTAGAAGTGCAATAAACTCAGATTTTAGCCATTCTGTTGGTATTTCTCCAGAGTTGTATATGTTTTTGAATATCTTTGGAATTATTGCTATTGATTCGTTATCCATTAGTTTGAGTAATTCTGCTTGTATATTATCAGGACCTGCCGCTTTGCCATCAACTAACTGAGTTATGGCGGAAAAAACTTCCTGCTGTAATATTCTTGGTCCATCATTTACCTCTTCTTCTCTTTCTTCTAGCTCAAAGGTGTTATCTTTTCGGTCTTCAAATAGTTTTTCTAGATATTCTTTCCACGTTCTTATTTTACCGTCAGAATCAATTATATTTCCTTTCTGCTTTCGTCTTAGTCCTCCTGTGAGTTCTTTAACTTTCCTATGTACATTGTGACTATCGTACTTTGACTGCAGAGTCTCAATTTCATCGCATCTTTCCCTTGATTCTTTTTCTTTCGCTTCTCTGATTTTCGTTCTTATTAATATATTTATGGTTTTATATTTGTCTGTCTCTTCTCTCGTCCATTAGTTTCAGGATCTCATCTGTCATCCATGATTTTTTCTTCATCAATCTATCTGTCTTTAAGTGTTTATCCTTTACATTTTGCACTATTTCTGTAATTTGTTTGATCGTTATCAAACATAAATATGATTTTAGGAAAAGAAATTGCCATTTTGGTTCCTATTGGTGATACAGGGTTCTTTTTTTAATATTATGTTTTTTCACCATCTTTTCAGTGGGACTACTTATCAGCGCTGAGCACAAAGTATATCAAAATTATTATAAATGTTTATAATAAAAACTCGGTTTCAAACAACTTTGATAAAATGTTAAAATTTTTTTAATATATCTTAAAATTGCATAACTATTTGGCCGATCTAGCTGATATTTAGCCCACTTCAATAACTCATTAATTGCCATAATATCAAGTAGTTATATTGCATGTCATTATTCAAAAAACAAATTAGTGCAAAATAAGTGGTTTTGCAATTATCTCGATCAATTGTTCATGTTTTTTTTTATTTGGAAACTCTCTAATTAAAGAACTTTTTGACATCTACAACTTTTATTTGAACCATTTTTCTCTTAAATGTATAAGAAACATTTTATAGATAAACAATGATTTTTTCACTTTTACTGGCCTACTATGAACAGTCTCGTAAAAGGAATCAATGGAAAATACACCGAAAAAATGTAATAAGTACATGCTTAATAATATTTTCAAATGAAAAATTACAAAGTAATTAGTATAATTAGTAATATTTATATTTCCCTTAAACTAATATATTATGTTTAATACTGTTCTCATGTGGTTTTAGTTTCCTCTTACTAGTTTATCTAATATCTGCTATTTTTGTTTTCAATACCAAAAATATCTATATAATATCTATATAGGTTAACAAAATTACCTTAATACAATTTTTACCGTTTAATCCATTATTGGGAGTAAACAATGATTGCAGAAAAAAGGGATCGGTTTTGTGACCACAACCGATTGATAGATAAATTATAACAATCATAATTGCAATATGATCTTGAAATACTTTTATTATTTTGAATTATCTTGTTTTTCTCTGAATAACTTTTAAATATTTCACTGATCACGTAAAGTAGCAATAATAAATAATAATATATTTGTGCACTTCCGTATATTTCTATGCATTAATATGTTTGTACCAATTATCTGGAGTACTGTAGAAAATAGATTTATTTTTTTTTGTTTTGGGAAGCAACATGTTCTACCTTAGGAAGTATTATAAGTCTGCGCAAACACCCAACTATAAAATCGGAAACATGGCCGTGTGCTCTTCATTTCACTAACAGTTACAGTCAGACTTACTACTTCTTTCGTTCATTTCTGATTTATTTTCGCGACTTTTGTCATGCCCAAATCTAGCAGTGATTATTACAGGGTGGTGCCGGATTCTTCGCAGAACCCTCGTCAGGGATGGAGCTTTATAAATCCAGGCACCTGGACCCAATGGGTAAGTTTTTAAAGACAATACTATTCAAAACAGTGCTTCGTAAGTTTTAAAGTTACTTGCTATAATATACATTTTTATGAGTACCTAATATACATATTCTAATAATTTTAAGAATATATTTTATGTATAAATTAATCACTTATAACTTGTCAATTAAAAGAAAATTAGTATTATCATAATTTATATTACGATTTTATCAAATGCCTTGTTGGGAATTTTTATATAAGTTATAAAATAAAACTTTTTGATGTTTCGTTATTTTCAGAATTCATTTTCAAAATACAGTTTTAAAACAATAGATACTATGGTTTTAAATAAGATAAACATATCTATTTTTTTTTTTATTTATTCCTGTACAATCTTTTACATTTTTAGACAAAATAAATCGTAAAATATAATTTATAATAATATTTTTCAACAAAAATATTTTTTTTCTTCTGTTCAAGCGTTTGAATCTCTTTTGAGAATTTTATTTTCTCCATTTGTTCTTTTTATGGTCTGTAGTGAAATTTTTTAAGAGTGATATATTTTATTACTGATATTTTTCACCTTATAGTTAGAGGGCCCGTCTCTCATCAATTTTTTATTCAAAATATTTTTAAATAAACAATAAAAACGTCAAACTCATTATTTTGCCCATAACTTAAAAACTTGCCCATTTAGAGATTTTACGTCAACAGACATTTTTTTTCAGAAAAAAAGATACACAAAATAAGATATACTAAATTAAAATCGGTTAATAAACAAAACAGTTACTGCAAAATGAAAAGACCAAAATCGCTGCTTTTGAATATTGTTAATCACTTTTTTATTATCATTAAAATTTGTTTAAATATACCTGAACTTGAGGGTATTATCGTGTTTAAACTGTGTGCAAAAGATGGGACAGATCGGATGAATAGTTTTTGCGAAGTTTAATTTGTTTATAAGATTTTTTGAAGAATAAGCTAATTTCTATGTCCGATGCAGATAATTTGACTAGATGGATCCCAATAATCCGGGCCTTATTTTCTTTGTTAAGACGATAATAACCTATGGAAAAAAATTACGTTTATGTATCCAAAATGATGTAATAATAAATATCACTTTTTAAGCTTATAAACATTTACAACTCCGTAGAATTTAGTTAACATTTCAAGATTTTTTGAAGAATAAGCTAATTTTTAAGTCCGATGCAGATAATTTGAAATGGATCTCAATAATCCGGGGCTTAAATAACCTATGGAAAAAAAAGTTTAAAAAATTACGTTTGTGTATCCAAAATGATTTAATAATAAATATTTCTTTTTAAGCTTATAAACATTTACAACTTTTAGAAAAAAAAGAGGTCCTACGACCTTTAGGAGCCACGATTACAAAAAAACACTGTTACGTTAATTAATAATATTAAGGGCTGGAATTAACCAATCTTTTATGAGATAAGGTTTTAACAAAACTTTTAGCTAACAAAATTATTGAAAATTGTTCAAACATTAGTGTTGTAAACAAAGAGGACTTTTCGTTCCTTTTTTTCTTCTTTCTTGTAACTAGGCTTTAAAGCCTGTTTCTTCTTCAATATTAGACTCCTGTTTCCGTTTTGTCATCCATCCATTTATGTCTTCTATATTGCATGTTCTTCTTATGTTTCGCTTCTCTCCCTATCCAACAGATTTTTTCCTGATATTCGTCGAAGTATTTTCATCCCTGTTGTTTCTAATAGTCGTCTCGTTTTAGATGTGTCAGGTCTTGTCTCCGCCATGTATGTTAATATAGGTCTAATTGCTGCTTTTTACAGTCTTGTTTTTGTGTCTTGTCTTAGGTGTTTGTTCTTCCAGATTGTGTCATTAAGAGAACCCGCCGCTTTACTTGCTTTAAGCTTTGTTGCCGTACTTCTTCTTCAACATCTCCGTAACTAGTTATATCTATTCCCAGATAGATGAAGATGCGTGTTAATCTTTGGAGCTCGCTTTCTGTCTCGGCGATTAATTCGGCGTCGTCTGCATAACATAATATTTGGATTTCTTTATTCCCCATTCTGTAACCATGACCTTTATGTACTACTTGTATTATTTCGTCCATTATTATATTATATAGAAGTGGGCTTAATGAGTCACCCTATCTGACTCCCACTTTGTACTGGCGTACACTGCGTTAGTTTTCAATTTATCTTTGCCTGTATTCGATTATGGAAGTAGGTGTTTTCGATAGGATGTATAATATTGATTGGTATGTTTCTTTTATACAGTAGGTGTAAGACGTCTTCGACTTGGATGCGATCGAAAGTCTTTGTCAGGTATATAAAACATAGATATGCTGGTTTATTGTGCTTAATGGCTTTTTCTGTGGTTTGTCTAAGTACAAATACGGCGCCTACGAATAATTTTCCGGATCTGAATTCTTGTTGTTCATCTGATAAAGTTGTTAGTTTATTGATTCTGTTGGTTAGGACTTTTGCGGTAAGCTTAAGTGCGGTGTTCAGTAGATGTATACCTCTATAATTGTAGGGGTCTTCCCTATCTCCTTTCTTGATCATTGGTATCATTACGCTGTTCATCCATGCGTCTGGTATCTTGCAGTACAATATTAGTTTGTGTATAGGTTTTGTCATCTCTATTTTTATACTTTCTCCTCCGTGTTTTAAAAGATCGTTAGTTATTCCATCTGGTCCTGCTGACTTTTTAGTTTTGACTGAATTTATGGCTATCTGTAATTCCTGAAAACTGATTTCTGTTTCGTGTCTTAATTCAGGTATGTTATTATGTTGACTTTTTTTTCCTTTCTTTTAAACAGTTCCGTCAGCTATCTTTCCCATTCGTTTGCTGGTATGATATTGTATACCTTCAATTCTTTTTCGTTTAGTCTAGAGTAAAAGAAGTTGGGTAGCCACCTGAAGGGTCAGCCGCGCTCTTTAAAAAATCTGTTTCAAAATAGAGAGCTCGGAAAAAAATGACACTCAATATCAAGAAATCTTACAAAAACAGACATCATCATTAACAATGTCACATGATTCGTCAAGTGCTATGGTGTAGCAAGGTGCCTTTTGCAAAAGATTAAGAAGAAAGGTTTTAATATCCGCAGCTAAAATTTTCGTTCTTCGTGTATTACTTCGCGTTGACAATTAGATGCTTTGAATTAGTGCCGCAATACATTCCTTCACTATCTCAGAATCAGAAAATGGTTTTTGGTGTTTATTAAGTATCCAGCACACACGTAACGCTGCCTCTGTGGATTTCTTCATGTAGCAAACTAGGATTTTGTGCTTGTTTCGTAAAATTAAGATAAACCCGAAGTTTTTCTTTACGCGCTTGACTGCCAAGAGCAAAGTTTTTGTGGAAATACTGATGAGTTGTTTCGTAGTGTCGCTTGGCAGTGTAATACAATATTGTTCAGTACACTTCCTATTTTCAGTGTCCACTTTTCTCCTTTTCGGATCCATTTTAACGTAGGTAATAAAGATGTTTTATAAAACGAACGAAAACTCGAGTAATCACAAAACAAATTGTACAAACACTTATTGTAAACATACAATATTATAATAAAACAATATTTCATCACTTGTAGATCATTGTTATTATGTTTATTTATCACTTCACTTCCTATTTGAAAATTAACAGCAGTTTTATTTGAACTTGATTAACTCAGCAATCGATATTCCGCAGTTCGGCCCGCAGTTCAACCGTTCGCGGTCCGGAGTCGGACAGCGGTCCGCCTGTTGCCGATCGTTGACCCAAGATATGTCATTTTTTTCCGAGCGCTCTATTTTGAAACCGCGGAGTTCAAAACTTCGAATTTTCTCTTAAAAGATTGGTTAATTTCAGCCCTGAATGATGTTAATTAACGTAACAGTGATTTTAAAGAAAGGATTGGCTCCTAAAGGTCATAGGGCCTTTTTTTCTAAAACTTGTATTTTTTAACCAGCTTTCTGAATATTTTTTGCCATTTAATTTGAACTAAATTATATGGAGTTATTGTAAATGTTTATAACATAAGCTTAAAAACTGATATTTATTATTTAATCATTTTGTGTAAATAAATGTAATTTTTTTCGATAGGTTATTAATATACGTCTTGAGAAAGAAAATAAGTTCCGGATTATCAAGATCCAATCAGTTAAATTATCTTGACCGGCCTTAGAAATTAGCTGATTTTTCAAAAAATCTTAAATTTCGCAAAACTATTCAACCGATCTGGCCATCTTTTGCAAACAATTCAAACACCATAACACCCTGTAGTTCAGGTACATTTAAACAAATTTTAATAAATAATAAAAAAGTTATTAACGCTATTAAAAAAAAAACGATTTTCATTTTGCAATAACTTTTTGTTTATTAACCGATTTTAATTTAGCATATCTCTTTAGCATATACTTATTTTGTGTATTTTTTTTCTGAAAAGGCGAAAAATGATAAATCTTTCTTATATAAATTTGGTGGTGAAGTGCTTTTTCTAAAAGTAATACTTCCGTCTGAATTTACTAAACCTATAAGTATATGTCCTAAAAAATTTTTATTTCAAATCCTTTATAAAAGGTTTATAATAAAATACTCAAATGGGCTATATCACAATTACATTACAGAACGTTTTTGGAATGTAAATTCCACCATCTGTGTAACCTGAAAGTATATAAACACTTTAATTAAAAAGAATGTAAAATAAAGTTATTATATACTTTCAGGTTACACTGATGATGGAATTTACATTCCGAAAACGTTCTGTAATGTAATTGTGATATAGCCCGTTTGGGTATTTTATTATATACCTTTTATAAAGGATTTGAAATAAAAAAAATTTGTGATATATGGCATACAGCCAGCTACAGGAACTTAGTTTCCTAGTGGATTATAATGTCTTAATTATTGCTATTAATTGCATTTGGAATTAAATTAATATTATTTATTCATTTAAATTAATTAAAAACCACTTATAGGTTTAATTTCTAATGTCAGTTGTTGCAATTTAATTCAAAGAATTATACCTATTGTGAAAAATTATTAAAAAAATAACAAATTGAAAAATAACAA